CCCCCCCCCCACACATTCCCACCCACCTGCCCAGGCTGAGGGAGGGAAAAGTGTTGGGGAAAGCCCCACCAGGAGTGCCTGCCTCCAAGATAAAAGTTTTTAAAGTTGAGGACTTTTTAAAATCTCACCTTTGCAAACAGAAAGAAGCCTAGAAAGGAAATCGAACTTTACTGGCACAATTCTTGTGTGAAATGTTATTGTACAGTCTTCTTGTTAATAAAGAAGTGAAAGCAGTTGAAACTGCATCTCTGTTGCATAAATCTTTTGAGCTCATTGAACTGTCTTTGCTGGATAAAACAATAGACACTCATACCTCCCAGTCTCCAACTAGCCACTGGCTAAAACAAAAAAGTGTTTGATAAGTTGAAAAAAACAAAAAAAAACAAAACGCAACTTTCCTTCATATCCAACAAAGCAGTCTGAGCAACGTGGTGTTCTTTTACAGGTTATTTTAGCAGTCACCGGGCACATCTACATGTGAAATGAATTAGATGCAATGAACTTTGAAACACTTTGCACTGGAGTTTATTGCTCCTGGACATAGTGTTTACATGTGTGCCTGCAGCCACAGCCGGCTGGCAGAGGGCACAGGGAATCAATCTGCCAGCCCGGGCTGCTCCTGCCCAGCTCAACATGCTGCAGAGGGGTTGGGTAGGACATAAGGGTGCTATAGTGCAGGGCTTGCTACAGTGCAGGGCTGTCTGCTGGCTCTCTCATGCCCCAGCCAGCCCCAGTCACTATCTTCACAGGCATTGCAGTGGAGTAAATAACTCTGCTGTAGAATAGTACTTTTGTTGGACAGTATTATCTTAGAGGAGTTGATTAGTTTACTCTGGCCTAATAGCTCATGTAACTAATGATGCTTTACTGTGGAGCTAATTAGGCAAGTCTGCAGTAAGTGTTTCATTTAGACGCACCCACTAAAAATGAAGTCAACTGGAGCATTTACTGAAGGATTAAATGTATCCTTTCCCATGCCCTTTGTATTATTTTTCCCCCATATTTCTGTTTTTCATACTCACCCCTACTTGCGTAAAAGACCCTAGTTCAGCAACATATTTAAACAGCCTCCACAATGCTTAGCCAATGCTTCTGTACCTTGATTAAATGAGTAACTAAAATCTGCATGGTGTTAAAATAAAATACTGACTACTACATCTCACTTCCTGAAGCAATGGTCTCTTCCTTTATTCTATGGCACTCATTCATAAAGAGTACAACGATTTGTAACAAACCTATAATAATGTATTTGCACACTGTAAATTTTCACAGCAATAGAAATGTTTTAAAAGTGTATCCCCAACCCAACATGACTGAAGCAATTTCACGCAGGACACTAACAACCCTGAAGAGGTTGATGCTACCACTTCAGTGGACTTTTATCTGAAGCCACCCATCCATAGTATTGTATCTGTTTTCTTGTCTCACTGCAGGGAAGGAGGGAGGGAAAGCAGACTGAAGATGCTTGTTGCAGTTGTAGGGTAGCTCAAATAAAAATGTAAAAAGGAAAACAGTGTGTTCTGAATAAAATGGTCACATTCTTAGCATACAGAGAAAGATTCCTTTGAAACCATCTTTTGTTACAATAATAAAAGAACCTGTCTTGAAAAACAGATAGACACACACAATCACTAACATGGTACTCTAGAAAAGGAAACAAATAAAGCGATGGAACAGCTCTTTCAATTCTGTACTATGACATTTTTTAAAATCAGCATGTTTCAGTGCATCTTTATTTCTACTCACCAAGAAAGGGTCTTTTTGTCACAAGGCTCACTAGGGCCAAGAGGATTTAATTCTACCTAACAACTACTACTAAATAGCAGCTTGCTACAAATTGACATACTTCCAACTTCATTTCCACTTATTGAGTTTAACTTATGCAATTACACAGAAGAGCGCAGACTGGACAGCAAAACAAATCATTCAGAGACTTACCATTTATGCAGATCTCAAAAGGTTTGCAAAGGTCATCTTCAAACAGGCAGCCTAAAACATAATACAAAGGTAAAATCAGTACAGTTTTCAAATTGTGGATAATTGGTGCAGACTACAGACTTCTCTGGCTGTTAAGCCCTCAGGAAGAGTTAGACATTTCCTTGACCTTAAGATTCTAAATTGGACAATACAGAAAGTCAACAGCATGAAAGCAAACCTCATCAGACAGCTCCTCTCACTAAATGTCCATTTTCAGAGTACCATTTGGCCCATTTCATCCTCTCTCTCCTCTGCAAAGGATTATGTCCTTTTTTATTCTGACAGTAATTTGAAGAGCCTCATTCTTCCCACTCTCCATTATAGCCCCATTATCACAAGTTAGAAGATACCAGGTACATCTACAAGTGAAATTAAGGTGAAGCAATAAACTCTGGAGCTGTTTGAGCTGGAGTAATCTGCTCCCAGGTGCAGCATCTACACATGCACCTGGAGCAGCAGCAATTTGAGCTGGGGCAGAGCAGGCCCAGGTTGGTAGGGGGTGGGGGGGTGAGGGTCAGCCCCAGGCTCTGGGTGGTGGCAATGGAAAGTAGAAGAGCTGGCTGGGGAATGAGGGTGCAGAACCTGTGGAGTCAAGTGGCTAGACAGTAGCCAGGAGCCTGGCCCCTGCCCGGTCACCATCTACATGTGCATTTCAGTGCAGTTAATCATTCTGCCATTAATTAGCTTACTGTGCCCTAATACCAGTGCACGTATAGATGGTGATGCTTCACAGAGGAGCTACTTAATCTATTCCACAGTAAAGCACACATGTAGATGCACTCACTGAGATCAGTAGAGTGACATATTAGATTGCATTATGTACTACAAGAAAGGTCAGAATTATTCTGACAGTATGCATCTTCAAGACCCTTATACTGAGGGAGCTGAATCTGTGACTAAAGTAGGTAATGCTCTTCATAGATAATGGAAAGGTAATAGGTTTAGGCCAGAGCTGGAATGAGGTATTGATACCATAACACCTGCTTCTGGACTCAGGTGATTGCAATAGAATCTTGGCTTCCATTTTAAAAAGAGGGACTCTTCTCCTACCCCCACCCCAAAAGGTGGGGGGAGGGGGAGAGGGAGAGGGAGAAAGGAAGGAAGGAAGGAAGGAAGGATCTAACGGATCTAACTTTCATGGCTGCTGAAAAAGATCTTGAGAATTTAGCTGAGTGTCAATGCAGTGACACCTTCCTGAGTCTGCACACACCCTCAAATACAGGCTCTGAAAGAAGTGAATTACACCATTCCTGTATTAACAGCATATGTCAAACACCTAGAGAGGTAGGGTCAACAACAAAGCAGGCAGTATTTATGCCAGCAATTGGTTTGCTTTAGTGGGTAGGCTCAGCCTGCCACAGCCACATGTTGTTGACCCTACCTCTCCAGATGTTTGACATATGCTGTTTTCCCTGTTGCTACTGTCTTTAAAAGGAAGACAACCTCCCATGCTTGCTCAAAGTGGGTCCCACACTATAGCAGCAACATACCATGTTTAAGGGCCATATTTTATCTTAATCCAGCCCTGCAGTGCACAGGCTAGAGCATCAGATGAGAACAAACCAAACAACTAGTTAAAGAAGATGGGATGACCTCAAAAAATAATACCATGCTTTGAATTTGGGGCATACCTCCCACATGGATCTCAAACCTCTTTACATACCTTGCTTCACCCAATACTGAATTGGAGCCATTTTGCTACATTTATATCATTCCCAGTTTGTGCCGGTGTACATACCAAGAGAGGTTAAATAATGTTGCCAGGGTCACACCTTAAGTGAACACTGTAGTAGAGAACCTGCCACCCATTCAAATGATCTAACCCTGGGCTGTCCAACTGGTGGCCTATGGGCTGCGTGCAGGCCACTAGGAGTTAAATGGCAGCCCCCAGGCTGTTGCCTGGTACATTCCCCTTACTGCTCCTGTTGCAACAGCAGCTGGAGTCTCCAGGCTCCCACCAGCAAAGCAAATTCTTTCTATCCCTAACTTCCTGCCTCCCCACATGCAAGTGCAGCTATTACAACTTCATTGGCTGTAAGGAAAATGAAGTTGTTACACCTGAAGCAAGCTGTTCTAAGCAAAAGAATGGGTGAAAGATTTGGAACTCTTCACTCAGATGAAGTCCTGAGTTCCTGTTCCTTTCATGAAAAGAAAGAGGTTCAGAGGGATTTTAAAAATGCTACTAAGGAAATGCAAATTTCACACTATTTGAATTCTTGTCCTTCTCCCTCTCAGACACACACAGAGCTCTAAGATATACACCTAAATGTATTATTTATTTTGGGAGCAGGGGAGGAAAATGTATATTAGAAAACACGCAGGGATGGAATCTATATGCCCATGGTGGCAGAGTGGGCTATTTCTGCATTGAATTATGATTGCCATATTGTATGTGTTTATGTCGCATGTCAAAATGTACCCGACAAACCTATTGAAACATATTCCAGACAGCTATTCAACCTGAGAAAATGAGCTTGACACTTCAGTGCAACTGAGAACCAATGTTCCCAAAAAGTAGAAAGACTCAAGAAAGATCAAAGTGAACATGTTCAGAATGGACAAAAAGAAAAAGCAGCAGCAAAGCTACATCCTTACAGAGTACAACTCAAATGCATGCTGTAATTCCACTTGATGTGTTGTGCATTATCTCCTAATCTGTTCTCCAGAAAAAGCACAAGGAAAAACTGATTATATAATGCTTTACTTTCTCTTTTAGTAATAGTTGACTATTAGATGCTGATTAGAATGAGGCATCAGATGCAATTAACCCTGAAAACTTATGTTTTGAAAAACAAATTACTAAAGCCAATGTATGGTAAACTATAGCCCTCCCTTATTACTATAAAAATGGGCTACAAAAGACCTTCAAAGCTCCTTGAAAAAATAATATTTCAAGTTATTTATTGCCAGAGTATGCATACTTCATCCAGCCAATCAATATGCTAATTTAACTGCTAATTTATTTTTGTTATTTGCTGTAACATTAAGAAGCCACATAATTCATTTTAAATACTATCTACCTACTAATTCTAATAATAGTCATAAGTCACTACTGAAAAATGAAGAGGCATCATCTCCAGCAGGCACTTTTAGGTCATACAGTACAGTATCAAAAATTCAATGCATTTTCCAGCAAAATAATTCCCACCCTAGCTTGTTACAAAACATGTGAAAGGTTGGTGCAGTTATTCCAAGCTCTGATGAAATAAAACAATTGCTTTGAGCAACAGCACTTTAAAACAAGAATGCCTGTGAGAAAGTTCAGCTGGCTGTGCAGGTCCCCCACTGAATTAGCTGAAAAGCATCTCAGACATGATCTGTGACAGAAGCTTCAGTCCTTTCTCTAAACATGCACAATGACAGTTTTACTGAACGGTAGAGAAAGGGTGAAAAGTCAGATGGGCATGAGCATGTGCACAGGCAGGGAGAATTGAGTGAAGAGAGCCTGGCATCCCTGCTATCTGTGGTGAATATGGTGTCTACCTAGGTCCCATCTTCTTTATCGAAAAATGGTTTGTTTGGGTTTTTTTCTTTTAATTGTGCCAACTAATGTGTTAAAAATCCTTCTGTAGGCACGATTATTGCTGTATTAATTGTGACCATGTGGAAATAAACCCTATGTTAAAACCCTAGCTGCTTTTGTCAGCACAGGATTTTAATATGTTTAAGAACTCAGTGCATGTTAAAATACCTTTCTCCCAATGTAGCCATAGCCCTAGTGATCAGATACATGTCTCTGCACCTCAGAGCCCACAGGTGAGAAGCATGGCTTGGTAGCAAATGGAGTGCTGGACTAAAATTCAGGAAACAGGTTTGGTTCCCAGCCTAACCTTCAACTTCCTTGGGCAAGTCATTCAACATACACCATGACTGAGTCTCCAAACTGTAGAAAAGAACAGGAACATGGGGAAAGTAATTGCCTACCTCCCAGGGAACTTTGCACTGATTGCACAAGTACAGCAAGAAGGGCTATGGAGGTATGCAGACAGTCACTTATGTACTTTTATATACATAACAGCTGCTGCTGGATTTGCAGCAGGGCTCAGGATCCCTGCAAGGCAGAGTGGGAAAGTCTGCAGGAAGTTGATGCCTGCAAGAGGATATGTATGGTTTTGATTGGCTCCTGAGGCAGGAGAGGGGGGGGGGAACTCAGCCAGGCTCAGAGAAGGGAAGGCGCCCCAGGACCACAGAGCTCGAGGAGAAACCACCCTGTAGGCTGCCGGTGAGGTGAACCTGCCCTTAGTGATGGGGAGAAGACACCCTGGAATCTTTTTTTCCCCCCTCTGTGAAGCAGAGGGACCCATGTGGAGGAAAAAAGGGTGATGAAGTAGACTTGCCTAGGAGGGCAGGGTGTTGATCTGGGGAGAGCTAACAGAACCAGCCTAGGGCTGGGTGGGTGATAAACCCAGGGTTGTTTCAGTTATCAACACAAGGGGCCGTGTCTGGGAATTGGAGAGAGATGCTTTTGGGGAGGAGGGACAGTGTGCGTTTCTTTGCCGATACCACAGACAGCTGGAGCAGAGGAGAGCTTCTCTTCCCCATGCAGGCTCTAGCAGAGAGCAGGACTTTCGAGAGCAGCAGCACCAGCCACAGTTATTGTGTTGCCAATGTGAAGGAGAGCTGATGTTTGCCTTAACCATGTGTGCTCCTGCTG